ACACCCTGTATAGTCAAAGGCCCTGACAGTACAAGCTATCGCCAGATTAACCTTATCAGTAGCCTCCGCCCAGTCCACCCCACCGGACAGCACCAGCGTGTCATCCGCATAGCACACCAATGTGCTGCCGGCGGGTAGGGCCGTGTCCAATACCTCATTGTATGCGATGTCCCACAGGAGTGGTCCTAAGACCGACCCCTGCGGGACACCGCATCCTGCCGCCCAGCTGCGGCATCTACCTTCCCTATCCAAACAGGCAATTTGTCTGTTTTTAAGGTAGTCCTCCACCAGTCCCCTTAGGTATTGCGGGAATCCGAAGGTCTCCATTGCTCTATTTATAACGTCGTGGGGGAGGGAGTTGAATGCGTTCGATATATCTACGCTACAGCCATTACAACCCCTCCCTCCCCTGTTATGTGGTCCGTGATGGACCTGACGTACCTAATTGCGTCGATAGTGGATCGACCTTCTCGAAAGCCAAATTGTCTATCCGACAAATTTGGTCCTACATTATCCATATGCCAGACGAGGCGGGCAGCAATAACACGTTCGAGTGTCTTGCCCGCCTCGTCTAGCAAACAGATTGGCCTGTATCCGCTTGGGGTATCAGCCGGCTTGCCCTCTTTTGGTATCAATACGAGGTTGGACTGTTTCCACATCTCCGGAAACTTTCTCTCCTTCATACAGGCTGTATGAAGGGTCGTTACCCTGACCATTAATTCACCCAGGGCCATTTTCCAGGCAGCACCAGGCACCCCGTCAGGACCGGGGGCTTTCCTAGCCTTGAGTTTCCTGGCCGCTCTCGTGACTTCTTCCTTTGTAACGTTCATATCCTCTTGCCACTCTTGTTGATCTTGAGGCTCCTGATCTTGTGATTCCTCAGTTTGTGCAATCAAACCCCCCTCCCATCAGGAAAGAGGGTGTGTACCACCTCATCTAGGAACCCTACTTCCAAGGATTCCACTGTTGGTGGCGCCCCACTCGCCAACTTCTTCATGGCGATTTTATAGGGGCGCCCCCACGGGTCCTCGTCCAACGTATTTAGGAGTTCGTTCCACGCCTGATCTTTCGCCCTTCTTATCGCTTTTTTCAGGGCTTCACGACTCTCCCTGTATGCTGTGAGCAGTGCTTCAAGTTCCTCACGGGACGTAGTCGCCCGTCTCCTTGCCCTTTGCACTGCCCGCCTGTCTTGTACGGACTTACGTCTCAGTCTGTTAATCTCCTCAGACCACCAAAAGGCGGCCTTTCGAGGAATAAATTTGACTCTGGGCATAGCGAAATCGCATGCCCGAGTCAGCGTGTCTTTAAACCATTTGGCTTCATCTTCGACGTCCCACCGGCGGGACGTCTGCGTCCACGTGGCTGCTGCTAACGATGCCATCAGTTTGTCAGGATCGATCTTGTTGATCGCCCATCTCACGCGCTGTTGGACGTCCTCCTCCCTACTCGCGTTTGGACGGGTGACTGCCATCTCTATGAGGAGATGGTCGGATAAGGTTTCCGCCTCTTCCACGACCCTCCAGGCCTCCACCCATCCCGCTGCTGCTGGCGAGGACCACGTGAGGTCCACAATTGATTCGCCTTGTGGCCTCACGCACGTACTCACTTGTCCTCTATTCTCAAGTTCTAAACCTAAGCGCGCAGCCCAAGTAACAACTTCTACTCCTCTAATGTCTGGTCGCCGGGAACCCCAATTTGCTGGGGACTTAGCGTTGAAGTCCCCAGCGACCAGAACTGGCCCGGGGAGCACTCCTCTTATTTCTCGCTCGAGTTCGTCCAATTTATCTTCGAACTCGAGCCTGCTTAGACTGGATCTTAAGTACACGCCCATTACTTTAATTGGACCGCACTCAACCAGGACCCAGCCGTTTCCTTCTCTGAGTTTTGAACAGGGAACGTGTCTTTTTCCTGTCCTTCTCCAGATTATGGCTACAGACCCATCCGCGCTGCCCGCCCAACCCGGGTGGTTTAGAACTCGGAAGGGTTCGGCCACAACCCCCAAACCGCAACCACGCTCTGCCAGGGTATGCAAGAATAAGTCCTGCGCCTGGCGGGCGTGGTTGAGATTCGCCTGGAGTATTTTTATTCGCGTGAACGCGCTGGTTCAGCGGCTTCCTCCAAGCCACTTGCCTCTATGTGCATCGCTTCATCCCCAGTTTGGGTCCACTCGCATCCGTCGGAGACCTTCGTTCTCAGCTCAGCTGGCGTGTCCGTGTGGTCCCACGTCAATGAGTCTGTTTTCTCTTCCTCGACCTCCATATCTAAGTCTATTAGATTGCCATCAGTTTTAGCCTCTTTCTCTGCAGACTTCTTATTTGGCATCACTGGGGGTTTTCTCTTCTCCTCTTGCTTCTTCTTCCTGGCCGCACTTTTCGATACAGGTGGGCAGGCTGCTCCTCCCGCCTTGTGTGCATCCGGGAGTCCCCTAGAGCTGCATACAATACACTTCGGTTTGGCCGTGCAGTTATTGGACTTGTGTCCCTCCACTCCGCACCGATAGCATGTGTTGCTGCGGTCCGTCTTTTTTCTACATTGCGCCCGGACATGTCCTCTTTCCAAACAACGGAAACAGACAAGTGGCCTAGCGCTTAGTAGTTCTACTCGCGCAGAAATCCATCCGATTCTTATACGGCTGGTTTCTGTCACTCGTTTGGCCGCCTCGAGTGGGCATTGAATCCAGGCCGTTCCCAACCTGTTTGCAGCCGCTCTTATCGGGCCCACTTTAATTTCGTGGGACGAGCACCGTCCCACTTTCTCTACCATTTCCCTTATCTCGCTTTGGGTGATGGAGTCATCCAAATCCTTTATTCTGACTTCAGCCAGTTTGACAGGATGTGTTACCCTTACACCCTGAGCGTCGCCCACTACCTCCCTGATCCGATTTACCAGGGTGTCTGCTTTAACATGGGCGTTCTCTCCAGGTATTTCCAGAATCAAGGCACCCGTAAGAGCCCTCCTGGGTCTTAATTCCTCGATTCCAATCTCGTCTAGGTTGATCTTAGACTTTATTTTCCTCATTCCCTCCTCGTATTCTCCTTGCGGGAATGTCAAAGAGACCGCGGCGGTCCTAGGAGCTTTCCTTATCCCGTTGTTCCGGGGTGCTGGACCTGTATTCTGCCGCGTTTTGTTCTCTCCGTTTTTCTTCGCAGCGCTGTTTGCTGCTATCCCTGTTTCTTTATTCTGGCTCGTGTCAGTTCTTTTGGCTTGCGAGGCAGCTTTAGCTTTCGCTTTTTCTGCCTTTCTTCTTCCCCCTCGGACCACTTCCGTCCAGGATCTCTGATCTTCTTTTCCTAGCGGTGGGTCTGTCTTGGGCTGTTGTTGTCGTGGCTGTACCGTCGCCCGCGTGCCGGCCGGGGTTATACTCGTGTACCTTGGTTTTTCAGGCTCCGACCTCTTTTCAGTCTGCCTTCCTTTTCCTGCATTAGCAGGAGCCTTCGCTTGAGTAACTTTCCCTTGCCTTGTTTTGCTGCTTCCCCTCGCTGTCTCTTTGACCACCACCATACTCGTTATGGTCGGGAGCGCTTTTCCTTTGTGGTCAGATGCCTTATTCGGAACTAGTTGTCTGTTCCTGTTTTCATCACCTTTGGCCGGGATCCTGGCCATTGCACCCTGGCATCTTGATACCAGATTTGCCAAGTTGTTTTTCACCTCTTGTGGGCTACCAACTACCATCGAACTGATGGATACCCCTTCCATAACTCGCCGGACGTCCTCCATAATCACACTTGTCGGCGGTTCTTCGAGACGTTTCCTTGTACCCCTTAGTATGGGTCTCAGGACCGGGAGCTCGTCCGTTTTCATCTCGGTCTCTCTCGGATCTTGGGCTGTGGTACCCATTTCCCCCATTGTAAGTTCTTCCCAATTTGTCACAGGTCTGAACTTAAAGCTGGACTTGTTCTCAACCTCATGTGTACGATTCTCATCTTTCTTTTGTTGTTGACGCAATTTTGCGTTGAGATCCGTTACCGTCTCCTCTAGGCTCTTGATTCTCTCTTTGAGCCTCTCCATTTCTGCTGCCTCTTTCCTTTCTGCCGGTATCGCGGCCTTAGAAATGAGCGCCTTCATTGCGGCTCTGAGGTTATTTGTGCTCGCTCGTAGCAGCTTGACGAAGGTTCCTTTCAGATTTTTAGATCCTCCGGCAACCCTGTCAACAGCATTTATGTTGTTTAGTATTTCTGCGCCAATTTGGTCCGCAGACATGCACTCCATTTGTTTCACCAACTCCCAGACCGGAGTGGTGTTACAAGGGCATACTTTAGGGTCAAGTGTCTCCCTTAGCAGCCTCTTCTCTTCCTTGAGCTTTTTATTCCCTTCTTGTGCTCAAGTTCTTTTTCTTGTAAAGCCCGGCAAACGTGGTAGGGGGTCTGCCCCTCTTTCTTTTACCCAAGGTAATCACGTCACTGGAACTGGAACTCGTGCTACGATCCGAGTCCACCACGTTCACCTCGATCTCCGTGTCCGACCCGCAGATCGAGGTCGGTGGAGGTTCTTGTCTCTTGGGGCGCACCTGAATGTTAGGCTTAAGCTTCGTTTTCGTTGCCTTGTTCTTGTACGAGGCTGGGCCCGGCTTGGACGTCTTCTTGCCCTTGGCTAGAAGGCCCTTTTCCACTCTCTGTCCCATGAAAACATACACGTTATCGTGGACAGTCTTCCGGACGTCGGGCTGGTCGTCGCCCTCAGTCCTTCCCTCGCCTCCTCCCACCCTCTTCACATTCGCACACTCGCACACATTGACGCACTTATTCATACAGGGTTTTTTAGTAGTACTCATTTCCAGTTTATTCCCTCTCCACGCACGGCTCCTCCGACCGGGTATACCCTCATCGATCCCCGACCGACTGCGAAACATGACCACAGCCGGCCGGGGACCGGGCCCTGAGTTCCCCCAGGGGGTCGGAATATACCACAGGGTGGGGGGTATCCCGCACCCCACCGCTGGGTTCCAGCCCCTTACTCACTCCCCCGCTCAGTGCGAGGGGGGCTTTCAGGGGTCCCACGCCTCCGACCTCGTGGGTACCGTACGTGCGCCTGCCACGGCGGGGAGGCCCCCTGGACGGTTGGGGTGTCGGCGAGAGGCCCGACTCACCTCCACCTTGCCCGCCAGGGCGACCAGCTGCATGCGCCTACCCGTCGGTACCGGCCTGGGACCCACCCTATCTAACGGGTGGGGGCCGTCCCATCCGGATCCCGACTAGGGGGACGCCAGGCCCAGACCTCGGAATATGTCCGAGCGGCCCCAGCGTCCCCCCCCCGTCCGACCAGTGAGCCCCGGCCTGGAAAGATGTTCCAGCGGCCTCCCGGTCCGCCCTCCTGTGTCTACCCACCCTTAGTTCTGTGAACTTCTTTCTCACCCATAAGACACAGGTAGGGCCTATCCTTCCACCACCCCAGACCCCAAGGCCCTGCCTGGGAATACGTCCCAGCGGCCCCCGGGGTCTTCCGGGCAGTCGGGCCCCGCCTCGGAAACGTCCGAGCGGCCCCGACCCCCGTCTACGCCGGGCCAACCGGGCGACGCGGGTCTCCGACCCGACGTGTACCCGGGGCCCCGCCCCCTCCCGGAAGGGTCGGATTATATCCGGCCCAACCGCGAGGGAACTGTCCCTTTTCCCACCTGCCCCCACTCCCCCGCCCCCCATATGCCAGGCCGCACGCCCCAGCAGCGGGACGTCGGCCCCAGACACAGGGGTTGACGGGTTCACGGAGACAGGCGGGTGCTGGACGGCTACTGCCGCCCAGCTTCTGTCTGCCGGCCCACTCCGCGGATCCTGGGTACCAGTTTACCGAGGAGGTCCGGCCCCTCCCCCCGGAAGACCCGGACCACGTCCGAGTCAACCGCGGGGAGGCCACGGCTTCCGGCCCACCCTTCGGCTAGGACCACGTCCCAATACCTCCGGGGTCCGGCCCTCCTTCGCCCGCGAGCAGGTCCACGACCAGCTCACTGACGGAGGAGCTCCCCTTGCCACCGTCCCCTGCCGGAACACCGGCGTGCAATGGGTGACGGTGGCCTCCCCCCGAATCCCAGATGCCTGCCGTAACACCGGCGTGCAATGGCATCTGCGATTCCCTCCCCCTCGTCCGGGTTCCCCCCGACCCCTGTCGGAACACCGACGTGCAATGGGATCGGGGAGTAGACGACCCGGTACCGGTGAGAGGAGCAAGCTCCCCCCTATCGGCTCCGGCAGCCGGAGGTTTGAAGTCAGGGTACCTCATCCCCTACCGACGAATGGTCTCGACCCTGTCCTCCCAGAAGGGAGGGCAGTGCCGAAACCGGAGTCGCCGGGCTCCATACCTCCCCCCATTAACTGGAGGGAGGGTGGTACGCTCTTGGTCAGCGGACGCCCAGCCCATGGAACCGCCGGAGCCTAAAGCGGCACAGACGGTTCCAGGCCGAACGCCCGCCTAAGCTCCCCCACCACGACAAGGTGGCGCACCAACGGGGGAGTCCATCCGTACAACCTGTCCAACTACTTGTAGCCCAGAAAACACGAGTATATAATTGTTATATTGTCGTAATAAAACGAAAATAACATGCAATATAACACACATGTAGTAGGTTGTATACACGTTAGTAGTAATTTCCTACTCATATATGTTGCAGGTATATAACATTAATGTAACACGTCGATAACATGTTACATAATGGTTGTACAACTATAATGTAAATTATAGGATCGTGTTATATAGCTTTTATATTGCTGGTAGTAATAACGTATTAATTGAGAATAAAAATTTTAACTGTTTCATACTTATTACAAATGTGAATATAATAAATATCAAATTCCATAATTAATTCCAACCAAAACTAACGAAAATTTGGTTTAGTTATTGTTAAAATTAATTCAGCAATTTGATATTTAAATGGTATTCTCATTTATAACAAGTATGCAACAGTTAAAATTTTTCTTATACAATTGTCATTAAATTATAATAAACAACAAAATTAAAGCTGTAATTTCAGCCTAATAGTGGTCGGCCTGTAACAATCGCTGCAAACACCTCCTCTTTCTCGAGCAGGGCAGGTAGCACCGGTCTAGAGATGCTCAAGTAAGAGATGCGTAATCATCGATTAGCGCGCAGGCTCGTTGGCCCGCAGACTTGTTGCCGCGCAGGCGCGTTGGCGCATCTCTTACTTGAGCATCTCTACACCGGTCGCGAACTCGACTCAACACCAGTGATGCAAATTCCGCTACTTTTTTACCCTACGATGTGGTCGGAGAGGGAATAACGCACACAAGCGAGCAGCCGTGTCCGTGTGCGCCCGGCGCATGCCCGGCACGGCGCTGGGCGCACACGGACACGGCTGCTCGCTTGTGTGCGTTATCCCCTCTCCGACCACATTGTGCTGGAAAAGTAGCGGAAGTTGCTTCACTCGTCCACTCGTCTCGCAGACACCGCAAGGAGAGGACGGACGATTCGACACCCAGACGTTCCACGAAGAAAGGTATGTTTCGTATCGGCAATCTGGAACATTTTTCCTATTGCTCGCAGTATATCGTTAACGCTACGTGATTTTTTTTCAGATATCGCAACAATGTCTCGTAGGCAAATAAACTATTTGTACGAGGAGAAGCTGCGGTTTCTCGATCTTCTGAAACGCAGTAAAATACATCGCATGAACCCATACATGAGAGCAGAGATAGGTAAGGCGTGGAGAGAAATCCAACGTCGCTTCAATCGCGATTCACGGACGTCCGATACTGCACACAGGACCGTTGACAGCCTCAGGAACCTGTGGTACGATTTACAAAAGGCCGCCCGTAAATCGACAGGTATGTCATTATAAATATCAATAACATATAATACATGATGTCGAAAGAAAATAATCATTTCTTTATACGCAGACGAACGAGATGACAACGAAGTCATGAAGGAGACGAGGTCGTTGATGAAGAAAGTTGAACATTGGCGCAAATCAAGCAAGCCAAGTAAGTGACGAGTTGTGCGGCATCCCAGTAAAGAGCAAGTAATAACAGAATAACGTTTACACCCTAAATGTCTATAAATAACTACAAAAATTGACTTTAAATTAAAATTTGTAGAAATTTTTACATCTTGGTTGAAACATTAATTTTTTTGTAAGAATAAGTACAAAATATAACCACAAATTACACTGTTCTCAAATTAAGACAATATTGCGATTGTAAATATTTCGTGAAAAAGTACAATTTTATAAAACTTGATACAAAACTTTACTAGTTTTAAAAATTTGAGAAACAACAAAATCTTAAAGAATGAAAACATCTGCTTACTTGTCGGGTGGTGTGAACTTGGCACACCATATCGAAAAATTTAAAATTTTTTTTAGAGTTCTGGTTTCCTTTTGAATAGTTCTACAGTTCTATATCGGTATTTTACATAGTTCTGATGATTAAATACAAAAATATCCAATTTGAAAATAGGGTGTGCTAAGTTCACGCAACGCACCGAATGGTAAAAA